ACAGATGGATGCCTGTGGTATCTCCTGACCCCCATCCTGTGACTGGAAAGCAGGCTCCCTTCTGCCTCTATGGTCACATGGTTTGAAGCAGTGAGACCCTGGCCCCTCACAACTTAAGAATTGCTCTGGCCCAATACAGGGGCTGCCCTCTTACCAACATCAGCAGAAGCATATGAGGAGAAGAGTGTGGCCATGAGCTTGAGGGAGGACTTCTGGTACAAGCCCACCACTGTCTCGTTGAGTGGGTCTTTGTTCTTCTCCAGCCAGCCCAGGATGTTGTAGTCCACGGTGCCAGCATAGTGGATCAGGGAGAAGTGAGCTTCCTGCTTCCCCTTAACATTGCGTGGCTTCTGGAAATTGTTGGACTTGCCCAGGTGGTTGTCATACAGCTTGGCCTTGAAGGTCATGTCAGTGGCCTTGGGGAACATGCACTCCTCCTCCAGGATAGACATGATGCCCATGGGCTGAGAGCAAGGGGAGGAAGCAGTGAGAGCATCATTGCATGCACTCCCAGGATTCTAGAGTCCCACACCCTACCAGAGGAAAGACTACAGCCCAGTATAGCGGGCAGGCTACAGAAACTCTGTGCTAGCACCTTCTGTCACAGTATAGGAACCTAATATTCTTGGAATCAACCTAAATCCAATTCTATTCTGGCCTACATAACCTCTTTTTGCCCCAGTGGACCTAACAAAGAGCCCTGTACTCCCAGTTGTCCTGCAAGGTCCCAAGGCCTTGCAGCAAGTCCCTTCGTCTTGTAAGACTCCTTGCCCCAGGGCAAGGAGTATGTATGTGTCAGAGGTGCCAGACTAAGGGACAGGCCAGAACCCTGTCTATATGATGGGTAACAGTTCTTCAAGGGATTGTTAGAGGGATCCAGGTTCTGTACAACATCCTGCTCTTCAGAAAGGATGGTAATTCTTGACTTTTCTTGGGGCAGGAATTGTAATGAGAATTTGATTAAGCTAAAGATGTCTCCCTGGAAAAAGGCATGTTCATTCTCTCTCTCTCTCTCTCTCTCTCTCTCTCTCTCTCTCTCTCTCTCT